CAGCCAAATACTCTTAGACGCATGTTGCTAAATGCGAAGGGAAAAATCGGAGGACAGCGGAGAAAAATCCACGTGACCCACGTGGAGCGGGACACGCAAACTTTAAATATACAGCAGGCGTCAGGGTCGGGATCGGAACAACGACCTCCTGTATACCAGGAGAGGCAGTCAACATCTTGCCACCACGAAGGAGACGTAGAAAATCCAGAAGACCACGGGGAAAGAGACATGTAAACTCTAAATATACAGCAGGCGTCAGGGTCGGGATCGAATCCACGACCTGTATACCAGGCGAGGTAGTCAACATCTTGCCACCACGAAGGAGACGTAGAAAAATCCAGAAGTCCACGGAGAGAGAGGCATGGAAACTCCAAATATACAGGAATCAGGGTCGGCATTGAACCCACAACCTCCTGTATACCAGGCGAGGTAGTCAACATCTTGCCACCACGAAGGAGCTGGAGAAAAATCCACATGTCCACAGGGAGAGAGGCATGTAAACTCCAAATAGACAGGAATCAGGGTCGGGATTGAACCCACAACCTCCTGTATACCAGGCGAGGTAGTCAACATCTTACCACCGCAGAGGACCCGGATAAAAATCAACGTGGCCACGGGGAGAGAGGCATGTAAACTCAAAATATATAGGAATTAGAGCCGGGATTGAACCCACGACCTCCTATATACCAGGCGAGGTAGTCAACATCTTGCCACCACGAAAGAGCTGGAGAAAAATCCACATGTCCACGGGGAGAGAGGCACGGAAACTCCAAATATGCAGGCATCAGGGCGGGGATCGAAAAGCCAGTGATTGATGGAGCCTCTTGAGTGGTCTCTCTCGCAGCCGCCTAATCGAGTCTGACTCACGTGTCCGCGATGAGCGATGATGTCACCAGGTTCATTCAAGGAAACTTTCACACGTGTAGCCCATGAGCTTCGAGCATATATTTCACTCGGTCAGTCCGCACCATCCGAGGTGGCATCACTTTCGCGGTTTTCAATTTCTTTATTAAATTTACGCGACCTAGAACAGTGCATGATGCGATGACCGTTTGTAATGAGTGGGGTTATCAAGTAATTCGCTCATTCTTAGCCCTACAAATAAACTGGTACGACTAAAGTGTTGCTCTCTTAGGTGGTGACCAGTGTCTGATTTGGCCCGTGGACTACGTTGTCCAGGGGCAGGTGATCAACACACTGTCCACGTCATGGTACCTCCTTTGCCAGTACCAAAATATACTAATAGGGTTTTTACCCTTTTTTTCTGGCAACAAAACTGACACCTTTTGCAAGGAATCATGCTTACATTAACCACAATACTTGCAGTCAAATGCAAACAAAAAACAATACTCTGATAATTTATGCATTGTCTTTGAAACTGATTGGTCCACACCAGAGACAGCTTTCTTTGGAGCCTAGTCTCATATGGTGTTCGACCAGATGACGCCAAAAGGCGCACAACTCAAAGACAATGCTAGGCTCCAAAGAAAGCTGTCTCTGGTGTGGACCAATCAGTTTCAAAGACAATGCATACATTATCAGAGTATTGTTTTTTGTTTGCATTTGACTGCAAGTATTGTGGTTAATGTAAGCATGATTCCTTGCAAAAGGTGTCAGTTTTGTTGCCAGAAAAAGGGGAAAACCCCTATTAGTACACTGTCCACGTGTTTTCGCCGTCTTACCAAATGTTATTGCAATTGCGCCACTGGTGTCACGTCGCGAGACAAAGAATCCATACGGAACTCTCACAGCACAGTCAGACCCCCCCCCACTCCGCCCGCAGCTCTCCACCAATATTTCAGCACGGCCCACAGAAATGAATATCACAGAAATATTTCTGAGATTCATTTCAAGTCTTAGGTTTTTTCGGTAAAGTCGCATACGTAAAAATAAAATCAAAATTAATAAAAGTAATAATAGAAATAAAATAAAAAATCACATAGAAATAATAAATTATAAAAGAAATTATATTATTACTTTTATTAATTTTATTTTTTACCTACGTGACTTTACCGAAAAAAAAACCTAAGAGTATGATACCTTGCAGTCACGAAAGCTTCAAATCTAGAATTCCTTTCAAGCGCCGTAAAGGAGGTGGCCAGGGTGACTGACACCGCTGAGACCCTGGTTACAAATTCAGGTTTAAGCTGCCCGGAATTAAACTGGGTCCTCAAGTGTAGTGAGTTGATGGTGTCAGTCCAGTCTGTGCATGACCCCCCCCCCCCCCACTTGTGACACGACACTGTGGGTGGCCGGTCCATCACGACTCCCATCGTCACCCCGGAGACCGCCGCCGTCGCTATGGCAGCGGTTTCCATGCCCGCCGTGACCCGTTGCCTCGGGGTGCAGGAAAATCACAATGACGGAAATTATCACCGACCTCAAATTTGTCTCCAAAAACACGCTCGCTTGCTCGCACCGGCTCACTGCACGAAGCACTGGGTCGCGGGCGTCGCTAGCGACTGTGCTTTTTCTGGAAGACTTTGCTGTTTTTTCCATTTTCTGTTGCGTGTAGTCACTTGAAGATGTTCCTTGTTCATGTTTTTGTTTGTTGCGGTTGCACCCGATTCAAATAGCCGCACGGCTCACAGGGCTATGCCTAATAAATGAAACTGAAACTGACTACACTTATTTGGCCAATCTTATTTGACAGACAACTATATACAGGTTATTGATAGACAGCCAGGCTTGTTTTACCATGTTTAGTTGTTTTCCTCCTTTTCACACTATTGTTATATAGGCCAGGTTTAGTCACAAACCTCTCCATAACAAAGGCTCAGCCTCTTAAGCCTCACCTTACCATATGAATAAAAAGTGTGCCGTACTTGGCCCTTCCCCCCTCTACAACCATTATATATACGGAGTGGTAGCTCTTGCAATCTCTCATTGACTTGATACAGCTGTCGTGGCTGTGACGGTTCCACCTGAAGACGGAAGCTTGTGTTGCCTCCGAAACGTCGTGATTTTTATTTTATTTTACTTTTATTAATTTTAATGTTTTACCTAGGCGACTTTACCGAAAAAACCTAAGAATATGAAACTGACTGTGCAGGCAGTTGCAAATGTGCCAGGGCTCACGGGGCCACTTGATGGGTCCAGGCGATGGATATTCAGAGGGGTGGGTGGGTGAATCGTATGGGGGGTGGGGGGGGGCATTTAAATTCTCGCACCTGGGCCCATTCAGCACTGGATTGATAAAGGACTGTAAATTATAGTGTCCCGTGCTGACCACCACTGCGGCAGACCGATGGTTTGGGCGACGGGCTCTTCTTCAGAGATCCGAGGAGGGACAGAGAGGACAAATAAATTGAATGACTTGTAAAGGTGAGATTATCCTTCTTGGTTCTTTCGGTAAAGTCACATAGAAGGGAAGTAATAAAATAATAAAAATAAAACATAATAAAATAATTCTCACGACATTACGTGACTTTACCGAAAGAACCAAGACGATGAATCCCTGCAGTCACGAAAGCTTTAAATCGAAATTTAAGGTGAGATTAGAATTTACATTTTGGGGGAGGTGGGGTGGGTGCTTCTGAGAAATCTGGGGGATTTTTTATTAAGTTCACAAATTAACGGGTATTCTAAGATGGAACAGAGCGCCGTTTAGCTGCCACGAGACTCGGTCCCACTCGCAAAGGGTGGCCACAAGCACGCTTGCCAGGTCGCAGGACCGGCTCCGACATCACTCGCACACCTCTCCCACCGTCGCTGCACCCCTGTATTTAGCGCTCCATTTTTATCGAAACGCTGCGGATGCAGCCCACGCAGGCGCGCATTAAGGCGTCAGCCACACTATAATTACGAGCCTAGCCTCCTCCGCCTCCTGCCTTTCGGAGCAAGGAAGCATCGAATCTAATTCTGGCCGCATTGGCACAACCAGAGAAGAAAGTTTTCAATCGGGGCAGGTTAGCCGTTACGACAAGCGACGAATCGGTGATGGAGCGAAAACTGAAGAGTGCGAAAATCAAGCGTGGAGAGGTGGGTGCGAGCTTGGAATTCCACCGAGATGCAGGAAGGGGAACACTATGGATTGGAGGAATAGATGCAGGTTAAAGAAAACATTATTATCAAAAAAATACGTTTATTTGGCCAGGACATGCAGCTAAAACAAGATGACGGCCAGTGGCTGAGACTCACGAGAGAATGCCAATCAAGGGAAGGAACACGCCTGAAGGGTCGTCCGCTATGGAGATGAAGCGAGATGAAAACAGCTCGTGCGCAGATGCTTGATGGATCGTAGCTTCGCGGGACCATGACGGGATGGCAACGGTTTGGGGAGTCACTCATCCAGCAGTGGATTGATACTGGCTGACTATGAATTGTACGAAATTATTGGGTGGTACAATCACATTGAATAATTGGCCTCTGTGTTCCAGCTACCCTCTGACCTGGTATCCCCGACTGTGTCGTCACGATTTTCTTATGCATTTTCTTTGTTTTCCTTTCATATTTGTAGTTTTCTTCCTGAAGTTGTTCAAACATTTCCTGCACGGTGCGAAAGAAGTTCATTATACATACATACGACTCAGCCCCATCGGACTGAGTCGTATATTAATATTTTCTCTATCGTATCGCTGATGCCTTTAAGAAGTTAGATTGACCACGGCCGATGATTACGACAATACATTTTTTTAATTAAATTGCACAGAATATTTGTACAGGATGCTATATTAATATATATGCTTATTCAACAAGGAAAAAACCTCTCAACAACTCATTTGCATGAAGGTCCTGTCGAGTTTTCACAGCAGGGGGCGATGATCGCTACGTATCGGCACCTTTGGTCAATAACCAGTTGCATTGTACGACTTGTTTTGTATAATCAAATCGCATTATTTTGCTGTATCACCACATCACGTGCAATACTCAATTGCGATTACCTTAATACAAAGCGATCACTGCCCCATTACTGGCGGGCTACACGGATCGAATGTCCTCCCCTCTTGAGGAACCCCCCAACGTTCTGAAAATTAGTTGTTTCTATCCCTCAACTGCAGATCTGACGCCGAGCCTGACGATCCACACCAGGTGCCATGGACCCGGTAAATGGGGGGAGCCTGTGGGGGGGCGGCTCTCCGGACGCCCTCCTGGGCTCAACGTCGCCCTTCGACCTGTTGGAGCCTCCGCTGGCAAGCGGCTTCCTCAAGCTGTCTCGTCCGTGCTGCTACGTGTTCCCCAGCGGGCGCGGGGACTCGGCGCTCTTCGCCGTAGGCGGTTTCAACCTCCTGGTGGATGGCGGCTCGGAGGCCCGGTCGTGCTTCTGGAAGCTGGTGAGGCACCTGGACCGTGTCGACGCCACCATCCTCACGCACACGGGCACCGACAACCTCCCCGGCTTTGCCTCCTTCCTGCGGCGGAAGATCTCCGAGGCGGTCGCGGAGGAGGGAGGAGGGGGCAGCGACGATGAGACCGGTCCCAGGTCGCCGCCGTCGTCGTCGTTGCCGGCCTGGTCGCTCCGAAAGTCACCGAATCTCCTCATCTCTCCCGAGCTGGGCGTGGTGTTCTACAACGTCCCGGAAAAAAGCAACAACAACAACAACAACGCTGAATTGGCGGCGGCGGTGGCCACTGCCCGTGACAAGGGGAGCCTCGAGGTGTCCACGGTGATCCTGGAGAGCTTGGAGAAGCTGCGAGTGGCTCCACAGCCGTTATTCCGGCTGTCGGCGCCCACCATTGAGCCGGTGATCCTCTTCCACAAGTTGGGCGTGGGACACCTAGACATGTACGTGCTGAGCCCAGTGAGGGAAGGCCGCGAGGGTAACCCACTCGGGCAGAAGCTGCCGTCGAACAGGGCCAAGGGCGGCAACGGCGTGATGGGGCACAAGGAGAGCGGGGCGGCGGTGCCGGCGGCGGCGGCGGCCCCCTGCGCCACTGGCACAGAGTCTGTGGCGGTGCTGGTGGTGTGGCATCCCGCAGACCCGACCGAGAGGATCGTTCGCGTCCTCTTCCCCGGTAACGCGCCACAAGCTAAGGTCCTGGAGAGCCTGGAAAAGCTCAAGCACTTGGAGTTCCTCAAGATCCCTTTGGCCACGCAGAGAGACGTGACGTCGGGCACGGCCACAGCAAAGAACGCCAGCCCGGGGCAGAAGACAGCCAGCAAGGAGAACGTGAAGTCTTCTTCATCCCGCTCCTCCTCCAGCAGGAGGAACCTCAACAAGGAGGTGGTGGAGAAGTCAGACGCCAACAATAGGCAGAGCAAGGGTGGAGAGAAGATGGACAAGAGGGACCCGTTAGCGAAGAACAAACTGGATTTGTCTTCCGAGGCGGTGAAGAACAGGGGCTCCGTGAAGAAGGACGGCAAGAAGCCGGAGGTGAAGAGGGATGCTCAGAAGGTGAGTAAAAACGACATGAAGCCCGCCGGGAAAAAGGACGATGAGCGGAGATCACCAAAGCCAGCGGCGAAGGCCGCGGGACCATCCTCAGAGGGCAGGAAGGGCTCAGCTAAAGCCAAATCTCCCAAAAAAGAGGCCGCAGACATCAAGAAGCCACTCGCGGGAGTTCATCCCAAGTTGAGGGAGAAGCTGAAAGGGCGGTTTGATGCATCAGCGGGCCCCAAGACATCTCCCACATCGTCGCCGGAAGACCTGATGAAGGAGTTTGATGAGGTGAAGCAGGACAACCTGCAGGCGATGATGGCGGTACACAAGGCCCTGGTGTCGGAGAGTCCCAGCGACATCTTCGTGTCAGAGGAGCAGTACGTGGAGAAGATCATCCCGAGCCCCGTGCACGAGGACTACAGCAAGACGCCCGACAGCACCGACGTGGCCGAGTCGCTGCTGTCCCCCGACGAGGGGATCACCACCACGGACGTAGAGGGCGACCTGGACTCGTCTCCCCAAGAGGACCAGGCCCAAAAGCCCGACAGAGAGAAGAATGAACGCTGTGCGCCAGATAAGAACCAGCGGAATGCGTCTGGAGCCGAAGAGCGCACGGAAGCGGGCGGTGAGAAGCGTTCTGCCGACGGAGATGGTGCAGTCGCGAGTGGCATGCAGCAAGAGTCCAACGAATTTCTCGACAAAGCGGAGACGGAAGCGGTGGAGAAGCATGCGCCGAAGGCAATAACAAGCGACGCGGAAACAAGGCAGGGCCACACATTTGACGCTGCAAACACCGACCCGGAAAATATCTCCGTTCACGGTGCCGCCGCGGTGCCGCTTCATCCGCATGCAGACACAGGCCCAAAAGGTTCCGCTAGTGATGCGGCTGCTACGGAGCCGACTCCAAAACCCCATGGCAGTGCATCTGCCACGGAGAAGGACGTCGCTAATGTCACGTCGTCGCAGACATCTGAAACGTCTGACTTTCCACCGAAGACTTCCTCGTCGCCCTCCCGGGAATCCCTGGCGCTCCCCGGCCTGGAAAGGGGCCCTCCCAGCGCCGGGGTCCACGACGTGAAGGACGGTGCCGTGGCAGAGGGTGGCACCTTGCGCGCTCCCACGTCCATTTTGCACCGCACGAAGACCCCGTCGTGCGAGCGGTCCGTGCTCTTCGACCTCACGCCACTGGAGATCAAGCTGACTCCGGACGAAAGCCCTGCCGACAAGGGACCCCAAGGCTCGGACAAAAGTGGAGAAAGCGACGCTTTGGCCGATGCCGATTCCCCAGCGCGCTCCCCTCCATCCAGCGCCGGGCACACGCCCTACAACCTCTCGCCCGTCGACGAACCCTCCTTCCTGTTTGAGGAGGCGGCAGCAGCCCGGGAGCAGGAGGAGGAGGACGCGGGTTTGGAAGAACCCAAGCTGCGCTCGGTTGAGGTATCGCCTGGGAGCTGCAGCGTCAATCAGACCGACGATCACGAGTCCGTCCCCGCCAGGGGCCTAGGGTCCAGGGAAACAATCATGAATGAAATTAAGGACATTGCGAATAAGGAGGTGATCCACTTGGCGGATACCAAAACGTTCGGCTGCGTGCCTCTTCCGGACGATGAGAAGAAAGAGACAGCCAGGCACTTGGCTAATGAGGTGCTGCTTTCCCTAGGCATGCCAGGGAATGCGAGCGAAGGGCCATCCAAGGCTGCCGAGGAGGAGCATCATCTGCAACATCAGAGTTACAACAGTGCGGCGGGGACATCAGAGCCAACTGCCAAGGACAAGCTGAAGACCTCCGCAGTGGACTTGCCCTCCCCAAAGTCCATGACGCCAACAGAGGACAGCTTCCTGCAGGCGTGCGTCACCGTCTCTACCACGTCGATCGCCACCAGCTCCTTCCTCAACGAACCCAACGCCCGCACAATGGACGACGTGTCTCCCTCATTGCCCGTCGATGTGGGCTCGCCGCAGTCCACCGAGGTGGATGAGTCCCTGTCCACCTCCGTGGAGAACCCATCGGTGGGCCGTGGTGAGGCCTCCAGGCCAATGTCGGCCTCGCCCGACCAGATCGTGTCCCCTGGGCGGGCGGACGAGGTGAGCGGGACAATGGCGAGTGATCAGATGACGCAGAAGCAGCACGGATCTCTGGCTTCGTCCGTAGCGTTCCAATTGGACAGATGCGACAACAGTAGCAGCAGCAGCTCCCCAGCCAAAGCAGGTGGTCACCACACAGCTCAAGACAAGAACCAGAGTGCAACTCAGGCTGCTCAGCCAATAGATATCCCCCTTCTTTGCAAAGAGGACCGACAGAAGTGTTTGGAGGCTTCGGCATCCACGGGTGGCAATGCCCCTTCTGTGATGACCTCGGGTCAACTCCAGCAAGGGATCTGCGAGGCTGCGGCGGCACTGACGACCCCAGGACAGCTGTTCCCCTCCTCCGCCCGGTTAGACGACCCCACCACCGCCGCGTCATCGTGGGCGACGCAGCCGCAAAGCAACGTGGACATCGAGACCCCGTCGACGTCGGTCAACAACTCTGTGGCTTCGTCGTCGGACTCGGAAGGGCCTCCGGAACTGAGTCGCGGCTGGGCCGCAGCTGCGATGGAAGGGAGTCCCTTGGCCTGTGGCCCTGCAGCTGCTGCTGGCGCTGCTTCTGCTGTGGGTCCGGAGGCGACACCAGCGCCCGTCAGCTCACCCACCTCACCGCCAGGGGGAGACCCGTGCTCGGCGTGGTCAGCCGAGCGCAAACTCGACCCCACGCCGCCCCCGCCCGACCCCGCCGTGCGCATGGTTGACCCCGAGCTCGCCAACTATGGACCGGCCATGGAGAAGATGCGAGGGGGAGCTGCGACGAAGAGAGATCCCCAGAGCGTGAAGACCCAGAAACAGCCGCGGGTGAAGACGCCGTCACCCGGAGCGAACGCTAAGAACCTCGGGAAGGCCACGACGCCTCCGGGAAGGCCCGGCGTGGGCAAGAAGTCCCCGGGAGATTTGAAAACGACCACGGGCGTCAAGAAGAAGGGTAAGATGGCACGCTAAGAATGGCGCGATGAACATTGTTCATGGGGGGGAGGGGGGAATTATTTGACCATACTTCACACCGCTGGTCGGTGCGGGTCAGCGAAGGTGGCAGGGAGCATAGCCGTTTGGAAGATAGTACAGTACAACAATGGATTGTTTTGCTGCACTGCCCTCTGCTCACAATACTGCCCCATTGCCTTGATCCGTTTGGTGTGCGTACAAACGCTCTAGTCGATGACGACCTGCGGCCCTTTAGCCAGGTCTGTCTGTGCGTTTTATGTAGTCACTCTCTTAGTCACTCTCTTAGTCGATTAAAGGAGTCACACATTTATGAATGGGTTCATTCATAAATGCGCTGCTACCACCCTGCCGAATGGTCCTTAAGACTTTACTGGAAGACAATTGATTGATGCTACATCATGGGACCTCCTTTGCCAGTACCAAAATATGAGAGTAGGTTTTCCCCATTTTTTCTGGCAACAAAACAGGTGTTAAGATGTTAAAAGACCAAACTGAAACCTTTTACAAGGAATCATGTCTGCATTAACCACAATACTTGTGGTCAGAATGAATACAAAAAACAAACTCTGATAATATATGCATTGTTTTTTAAACTGATTGACCCACACCAGAGACAGCTTTGAGCCTAGTCTATTATTTTAGTTTTTCTTCCGGTTCAGTTCCGATGACGTACGTTTCATTGCCGTATGTGTACGTCATTGGAACGAAACCGGAAGAAAAACTGATGACTTACACGTACGTCATTACACTACTAAACACTACACTACTATACACTACTATACACTACACTATACACTACACTATACACTACACTACTATACACTACACTACTATACACTACTATACACTACACTATACACTACACTACTATACACTACACTACTATACACTACACTACTATACACTACACTATACACTACACTACTATACACTACACTACTATACACTACACTACTATACACTACACTATACACTACACTACTATACACTACACTACTATACACTACACTACTATACACTACACTATTATGCACTACACTATACATGACACTACTATACACTACATTATACACTATACTATACACTACACTACTATACACTACACTATACACTACACTACTATATACTACACTACTATACACTGCACTACTATACACTGTACTACTATACACTATACACTACACACTGGGCTCTATGGAGACGCGTCATTAAGCGATTAGTCATTAACAGGGCTTGTTGTTAGGAGGGGTTCTACTCTAAACTACTATACACTATACTACTGTACACTATACTACTATACACTACACTATACACTACACTATACACTACACTACTATACACTACACTATACACTACACTATATACACTACACTATACACTACACTATATACACTACACTACTATACACTACACTATAAACTACACTAGTATACAATACACTACACACTACACTATACACTACACTATACACTAGACTACTATACACTACACTACTATACATTATGTTACTATACACAACAATAGTATACTACACTATACACTACTCTACTATACACTACACTATATACACTACACTACTATACACTACACTATACACTACACTATACACTACTATACACTACTATACACTACATTAGACACTACACTACACATTGGGCTCTATGGAGGGGTTCTGCTGTATCACGCTGACCCTCGCCGTCCATTGGCGTCTGACCCCTAACCCCGACCCAGGAGGTGGCGCGGGTGGCGCGAGTGGCGGCGCGGCCCCCCCCCTCGCCGCGGTGTACGTGGACCTGGCCTACATCCCCGCTCACGGAGCGCAGGGGCAGGTGGACGTCGACTTCTTCCGGCGCGTGCGGGCGACGCACTACGTGCTGAGCGGGAACGACGCGGGCGGCGCCGCGAGGGCGCCGGGTCGCGCCACGCTCGACGCGCTGCTGGTCGGCCGGGCCGAGTGGGGGGTCAACCACACGGTGAGAGCGGTGGGGGCCACCCCCCACCCCCCACCGTGATGTGGGGGGCGGTGGAACAATGACAGATAATGATAAACGATAAACGAACGATTCTAATGGGACCCTTTTTGGCAGGATTTAAAATGATGATGCCATAAGAAAAGGCTTTAGCACAGAGGTCGCAAACGGGTTTTGATTCCTTACCCGTACCCATACCCGGCCGCACCAGGGTCGCAAACGGGTACCCGTACCCATACCCGGCCGTACCCGTACCCTACACGTACCGGGTACCTGATTGCGACCTCTGGGATGAAGCCATGTTGCAGGCGCTGGTGGGTTGATTCTAGGAACTTGAATTGTGAGAAGAGACAAGACGTTGGGAAATGAGTGACAAACGGTGACTCACCAGTGACTCACGGTCTACCCGTACCCGGCCGCACCAGGGTCGCAAACGGGTACCCGTACCCGTACCCGGCCGGTACGGATAGCCGGGTATCGGGTAGGGTATCGGGTACCCGGTTGCGACCTCTGCTTTAGCACTTTCTAGCAATCAAACAGGAGGTGTTAAGATGTTCGAACACCCATTGCAAGGCATCAAGCCTGCATTGAATACACGTGGCAAAACATGCAAAGAAACATACTCTGATAACACTGCTCAACAAAGAAAAACATTTTTTTCTAGCCTGGACTTTTGCAGCTGTTTTTGCAGACTAATTTCCAAATCTGATCTCAGATTTGCTCTATCACATCTCATTTTTATGCTATCGGCATACCCAATTTTCATTCATTTTACCCGAAATTAACTCTGTCACTTACGATTGCAAGTTGTTGCGAGTCAGTGACTGCTTTAGTGTTGAAATATGGTGCTGTATTTTTAGGATAGTGTATTTATAATATCATTTTATGTAGATATACACATTTATTTAATATTTTTCTTCTGCAGTTTTTATTGAAAATGCAATATTTGATATCTCAAAAACCTGATGTGATAGACAAAAACTGATGCCACATTTGGAATCAACACCCGAAAATGACCTTAAAACCGTTGGAATACAGTGATCCCTCGTTTATCGCGGTTAATGGGGACCGAACCCCTCGCGAATCTCGTCTCTGTTTCAAAGAACAAATTTGACCTAAGGTCTACACTCATTTACCAGCTTAATATTCCCTATTGCCGTACATATACTGGAGGAAGGGCCTTTGCTATTGATGCCCCCAGGGTCTGGAATGCTGTTGCAAATAAATTGAAACTTGAGTCACTACCTATGAGATCTTCACTCAAAACTGCTCTAGAGGAGTTGTACACCCCTAGCTGCCAGTGCTATTCAGTGACCTAAAATTAAATGTTTCGCTCCGGATGATCGCTACAAAGTATGACCTGTGTTTTGATTTAGTGTGCTGATCTTAAAGGTGCATTGAAAAATTACAATACTCCGATTGATGCTCCTGCTGTTGTGGAGTGACTCATGCAGCCAGCTATGGCTGCAGGGTTTTGGTAGTAGATGTTGTTTATGCCATTTATTGTGAAAATTCCGTCACAGTTCCTATGGTTGCTTTTTCATTGCTTTCATGGCTTTATTTTGGTGATTTCGAAAAGTGTATTGGTTTAGCCATGTTTGTTTGTTGTAGTACAGAGTTAGACTGATGGCCTTAATCTAAGCTGTCTTGTGGTTGTTGTTGTTTGACTTGCATCCCACTGAGATTTTTGCACACAGCGTTGGTGTACGGTGTTTTTTCTGCAATATTTTTGCTGTCTTTTCTTGAATTTTCTGTTTGCACTTAGTCACATATTCACTTTAAGATGTTTTTTGTTCATGTTTTTTGTTTGTTGCGGTTGCACCCGATTCAAGAGCTGAATGGCTCACAGGGCTATACCTAATAAATGAACTTGAACTTGAAACTTGAACTTGATGGGTGAAAATCCGCGAAGTAGGATTGGCCCCCTAGGAATTTCCGTATATGTGTGTGTGGGTACCAGAATGTTTAAAATATGTATATTTATACTTTATATATATATTTTACTTAAATCTATTTAATTATAAAACCTTAATATTATACATTCACTCTCTCTCTCTCATACGATACGTATTATGGTGTTCTACACTCACCAATGACAGTAGTATCTTGAGACTTGACTCCAGTAATGACGACGATGACGATGACAATGACGATGACAATGACGACGATGACAGACCTGTGCAGTTCGATGAATGTGATGATGAATGATGATGATGGTGTTACTGCACAGGTATAATGAGGCCTTTAAATCAGTTCGAAAAATCCGCGATGCACTGAGGCCACGAAACTTGAACCGCGAAGTGGCGAGGGGTTACTGTACCTTATGCCAGAAAAAGTGTGTTGACCAGTGTAATATGTGCATTGTCTTTGAACCCGATTGGCAGAAAGGGTGAAGCCTAATTCTTATTTTTCCATCATGATAAATCCGACACGATAACATCTGCCTCCGCCTGCCGCGTCATTCCGCTCTTCCCACCGTCGTGCCGGCGTTCGCTCGTTGCCAAGCCGATTCCGACGCCGCCCGCGTTTTGTTTCGGGCGCGCAGGTGACGCTGATCCCCACGTACGACACGGCGGCCGTGCGCGGCTGGTACCAGGAGACGCACGAGCGGCAGCGCGAGCTGGGCATCATGGTGCTCGCCAGCAGCAGCACCGTGGTCATGCAGAGCGAGTCCTTCCCCGCCTGCAAGATCGAGTTCTGATCACAGCCCCGGCCGCGTTCATCGCCGCCGCCGCCGCCACCGGGTCCGCGGGATGGAGGCGGTGGGGAGTTTGTGCTGGCGTCAGCGGCGCCGCCTGGCACCCCGGCGGGTTTTCCCGGCGACGCCCGTAATCCACGGCTGCCGCTTGCGGCTCAGCGGCGGGCTCGCACGCGTTCCGGCCTCCGTCCCGGATTAACCGGCGCTGGCTGCGAAGCGCCGCTTGCTCGCCGGTCCCCCGTCGCGCTGGCACGGAGCCGCAGGCGAGCGCCGCGGTGCCCTCTGGCTCGGCGCCAGCGCGTGGCAGGGTGCGTTGCACGGCTGCCCCCGTCGACTGTTGGCCGCGAGACGGCCGGGCTCGTTCGAAGCCGTCCTCCAAACTTTGCACCGTCTGTCGGGCTCGCGGACTCGCTCGCCCCTGCCGGCCCTCCTTTGCACCCCCCACGCCGTGATCCCAATCACCGGGGCGCAGCTTACCGGGCGAGCGCATGGCCTCGAAAGCACAAGCGGGGACGTCGCGGGCGTTCAGGCTGACCGGGCACGCGCACCGGCTCCGCTGGCTCACCGGCATGTGTCTCTGTGTTGCTACGGTAGCATGGTCGGGTTTCATCATGAGTAGCCGTCACAGTCGTGTCGTCGTCTAAATTATATTGAAGGACGCCACCGAGTGGTTCAGAGGTCAGAAACGTTGAGCCGGTACTTCTGAGTCCTTGGGTTTAACTGTGCAGGTTTCAGCCTCTGAACTACGGTGATTAAACCAGGTTCCAAAGTGAAGCAGTCTCAGCATTTGTCGCCACTGACTCACATACAGACCCATAGACTCGCATAGAATGACCCATAGACTCACGTAGAGACCCATAGACTCGCATAGTGTGACCCGTAGACTCACATACAGACCCATAGACTCACATACAGACCCATAGACTCGCATAGAGTGACCCATAGACTCACGTAGAGACCCATAGACTCGCATAGTGTGACCCATAGACTCACATACAGACCCATAGACTCACGTAGAGACCCATAGACTCACGTAGAGACCCATAGACTCACGTAGAGACCCATAGACTCGCATAGAGTGACCCATAGACTCACGTAGAGACCCATAAACTCGCACAATGGTCCACATGCTCAAGTAGACCGAAGTTGTGCAATGACTTAATGGTCTCAGCCAGGTCACCAATGACTGCCCAAAGTAAATAACAACCCATGACTTCAAACTCAATTTGGCAAAATCCCAACTCTTAGAATTAAAAATATGCGGTTGCAAAGCGGGCGGGGAAGGTGCTTCCGCCGTTTGTGGGGTTCAGAGGTCACTCTGCAAGGGATTTCAGAGGTCGCTCTGCCAGACCGCGATCTTCAACAGATTCTGCGTCGCACGACGGCGTTGGCGATAACTCGGTTAAAAAACAAACGGACGAACAGAATGCGTGTCACTCGGAGCCGGCGCGAGAGCCGCCGGACGTCGCGCACGGCCACACTAAACGCCGGGCGAATTCCCCGTCCCGCTGGCTCCCCTGACGCACAATAGATTTCTAGATTTGAAGCTTTCGTGACTGCAAGGATTGATATTATTTTGGTTTTTTCGGTAAAGTCACGTGGGTAAAAGATAAAAAAAATATATATATTCAGAGCCCCACTTGGCTTCTCCCACCCTCAACCAGTATAGAAACAAGGACTGTTTTCTTGGAATTTCTTCTCTTACTTGATACAGCTATCGTGCTGTGACGGTTCCACCTGAAGACGGAAGCTTGTGTTGCCTCCGAAACGTCGTGATTTTTATTATTTCATTTAAATTTTACTTTTATTAATTTAAATTTTTTATCTACGTGACTTTACCGAAAAAACCAAAGAATACCCAATAGATTTGTCGCTGGCCAGTGTCGGCGATTTAATTTGCGCGTCCACGGCAAGGCCGCCGACCTCGCGGACAAAAAAATCCGACATTGCCCTCGGTTGAACCCTCCCGCGCATCGCGTGATGAGAGATATACATAGGGGTGGGAAAATTCGTAGTGATGGAAGTGACTTGCCACTCGGAGCGAGCGTTGAATCATTGGTGCTCAAATTTCGATTTGAAGCTTTCGTGACTGCAGGGATTCATCTTCTTGGTTCTTTCGGTAAAGTGACGTAGAAGGGAAATAATAAAATAATAAAAATATAACATAATACAATAATTATCACGACGTTTCCGCCACAACGCAAGCAGCCGTCTGAAGACGCTGTCTTTCCGACAGACCTGTTCTTCACCTGAGGACGGCTGCTTGCGTTGTGGCCGAAACGTCGTGAGAATTATTTTATTTTGTTTTATTTTTATTATTTTATCATTGGTGCCCGTTTGCCGTTCACAGCTTTGTGAAAAGGGGTTGGTGGAAGTTCCACGTTCCGATGGCAGTGGGGCGAGTCCGTCCATCATAACAAAAACCACCCGTTGACTTCCCCACAACAAAGTGGTTGTCATTTTGTTGACCCCAGAGGGAGGTATGATGGCACCACCACTCCGCTCGCCCCACCGCCCCAAATCATGATTTAAACTAACAACCTTCCGATTGAGAGCCGCTCACTCTAACCAAGGAAACATGTCTCGGAGGTTTTTCGTCACGAATTCATGAACAGGGTTAACCAAATCATCTCGTCCGATCTCGGAAGACGTGACAGGTGTTGTAGGTTACTGCGGAGGCTACGTGGGGGGGCCGCGCGGCAAATATTTCACTGTCGCACCGTACTTCTGCGCTCCCGATACCTGCCCCTCCGCTCCCCAACCACCCTTCTCTTTCGCTTGCAACGCGTTGCGCCGGGTCCACACTCGCGGCGTAGCTAGCCCAGTGCTGTGCAGGCACCGCGTGGGCCGGAGGGGGCTCAAGCGCTGGACTCAGAGGTCGCAAACGGGTTTTGATTCCTTACCCGTACCCGTACCCGGCCGCACCAGGGTCGCAAACGGGTACCCGTACCCGGCCGTACCCGTACCCTACCCGTACCCGGCCGGGTACGGGTAGGGTACGGGTACCCGATTGCGACCTCTGGGATGAAGCCATGTTGCAGGCGCGGGTGGGTTGATTCTAGGAACTTGAATTGTGAGAAGAGACAAGACGTTGGGAAATGAGTGACAAACGGTTACTCACCAGTGACTCACAGCCTACCCGTACCCGGCCGCACCAGGGTCGCAAACGGGTACCCGTACCCGGCCGGGTACGGGTAGCCGGGTATCGGGTAGGGTACGGGTATCGGGTAGGGTACGGGTATCGGGTACCCGGTTGCGACCTCTGACTGGACTAAAAATAGTTGAGAGGGATGGGAGGAGGGGGGGGTGAAATTGAACAGGGGGGACCGTACCCGAACCACGCATGTGTCCCGCCTTAAGTGGACCATTGAGCAAATGCTTCCTGCAACCGCGTGCAGATATGATCGTCCGCATGCAAGCGTTTCGGGTGCACGCGACCAAGTTGCATGAGACTGATTGCTTCAGCTGTGGACTGGTCCTCAGCGATCCCCCTAGCCGGTAATGACGAGCGCTGTGGCGAGTGTGCTGAATGTACCACGGCGGCCGTTAGACGAAGCATTAACATTCCACGTGGGATCCCGGAGGAAGGGAGGGAGATGACCAGGGCATTGATGTATCCTGTACAGTCGTGCTAAAAGCTGCAGATGAAAAAAAGCAACCGTGCAGTCATCTGCACAATCGTCGTAGGTGTTTTGACAGATGCTACTATATTTGTGTACCGCGTGAAACTTAGACTTATTTAGTGACGGAGCCTGACCGAAAGGGGACCAAGAATTGTGATACAAAGACGTATTTCTGTACACCGCACGGGCGGATTTTGCAACGGGCACGCGTTGTGAGAAGAAAGTAGGCCGTACGAGCGAAGGCCGACTCCGTGCAGTGTTCATCGGGGGCATCTGCGTTCACATTGAATGTACGAGCGAGCTGTGCTGGCATCGGCAATGAGCTGAAGCTCACGGTCGCTCAACGCAGTCTGTTCTTCTATCACGCGGTCATTGCGTGTCCCGAAGAACGCCGCGTTACGGAACAATTGCCTGATCACAAATGATATGTAATATGGAGGGGTAGAGCACGGCCCGCGATAATACGCGAGATGCGCACGCAGGCCGAGCGAAGACTTGAGGCGTGCGGGAAGCATCTGGAAGCATCCAGCAGCATCCTGAGGCAGCCGTGCGACCGCTTGTTCCGGCTCGCACGACGTAGTTCCGTTCACTCGATCGCCGTTATATTCAATTCGCGTTATGAAAACCACTCGCGGTGTTGTAAGAGAATGGACTGTGCTCGTGTTTTTTCTCCTGGCACATCCGAGTCAGGGACCAGAACCGGGCCACCGGGCGGCGTTTCGACTGCCGATTTACCGAGCCGAGCCGCAAAACCGAAGCCGCGCAACGCCGGGCTCACACGAGACTCCGGGGCCCAAGAAGGGCTTGCCGGGCTCGGGGCTGATCGCGTGTCCATTGCGCGCGCCGTCGGTCAGCTCGAATCGCAACGACGGCGTCGCCGCGCGCGTGTCCACGTCGCCCGTGTGACGTCGCTGGCACGGCTCGGCTTGCGCGGTGGGAAAAGCAAACCGCCGTGTCTTCCTGAACCCGTGCCGCTGCGCTGGCTCGGCACTGCCCCCACCGGATGCGCCAGTGGAATAGAAGTAAATGTCCCCCTTTTGCCACCGGGGAATCTGCAATTCGTGGGGGGACGGGGGTCGTAATGCCACTCGATAATCAAAGAATCCATCTCTCTGTGTTCACATCGCAGTGCACGGTAGCGCCTCTTCCAAACGGCTGCAGGAGGGGGCTGACGGACGGTGGCAGTGACTCCGAGACCAATTGCACGCAACGCAGAACGAGCCGAGGCCCGTGGATTCTTCCGCGCGATTTCGAGATGCGGGTACCGTGAGCTCAAGAAATCAGACTGATGGACCGGTGCATCGTTACACCGCTGAGAGATAAAGGCGCTGTTCGTTTTGGTGAACCACTCGCGGATCTGAGAGAAAGTTCACTACTATATCAGGGTATTCACTAGAACAAATTCTAGATTTGAAGTTTTCGTGACTGCAAGGATTCATACTCTTTGGTTTTTTCGGTAAAGTCACGTAGGTAAAAATTAAAATACATTAAATCACGACGTTTCCGGCAGCAACACAAGCGTCGGACACACTTAAGCAGTGTTGTGCTTTTGCTAAGTTGTCCCGACCTGAAGAAGGCCGCTTGTGTTGCGCCCGAAACGTCGTGATTTAATTTATTTTAATTTTTTACCTACGTCACTAGAACGAGTCTAATCACAATTTGAACCGGCACATTTCAAGAATCACTTGGGAACACCGACACATCGTGTGTAAATGTGCATTTGTTCGGGTCTCCTGTTCAAATGCGAAATGAAACCACGACACAGACGGGTACACCGACAGCCCCACATTCTCTGTAGAACTGCACCCGAGGAGGTAGCTCACGATCTTATAAAAAGTTCACAGTTTTAGAGCGATAAACTAACTCGCTTGCGCGCTCAATCACTCGACGACACCGCGGTGGACTCACCCAGCGAGCCCTGGGTGGACGATTGCTCGGAGCAGATGGATCGTTCCGTGCACAGCGATCGGTCGGAGCATTACGATCGAGGAGGAATTGACGTTTGGCAGCGTACGCGGTCGCTGTACACGGGGTCTTTGCGATCGTAATGCGATCGCTGCATGGAATCATAAAGACACACGGGAAGACGGTGCTCATGCAGTTATATTCGTTATGAATGAGGTGGGGGGGGATGGGATCGTTATAATAAGCAGGGTTCGGTGTCACGGGGTTACGTAATAATTTAAAAACGACGTGTTTATGCCGAGTTGCACATTATATATCGTGACGTTCTACAGCTGGGCAATTACAAGCAGGCACTTAACAAGAGAGATTATATTCATTCATATATACGGTATACGTGTGTGTGTATGCAAGTTGCATGGGACTTACCATGCAGTTACTTATGAGCTACCCTTATAGATATAAATGAATATGAATGCAACGAAAGCATCCTATTATACGACACAGATATTTATATTGCTAAGCAAGTCAATTATTCATCCCGTTGGTAGGGCGCCCCCCAAACCGCCGGTGTCGAACGGGCCGCATTGGGTCCACTGTGCATGAGTTTGGGTGCTAATCCTGGGGCTTAATTTCTGACGGAATATTTTCCGGGTCGCTGGAAGACTATGAAAGGCTTGCCTGGAAACAGGATCGAGGGGGGCGAGTGGGAGGAGGGCGGCGGGCTCCTGGCCAAAATTATGAAGTTAATAAATAAAAAATTAACCCGTAAAAACAAAGTTTTTCACTATAAATCCTTTATATGCGTGGCATCGGGGCGGCTAGAGTCCTCTCGTCCTCTGGCTTGAGATGGCTGCCACCTATGGGTCAGATGATTGTCTGCCACCATTAAGCAATTGGTAATTAAATATTTTTTAAAAATTGCACTAAACAGTGTCAAATTTTGGAAAACATTTTTCAAGAAAATTAATTGTCACGCACAACGAGTCTGTGTGCAAAATGTCAGCTCGATTGGATCACGGGAAGTGGGTTAAAAAACGACCGAAAGATTTGCACGGTCGTAAGCAAGCAAGCAAGCACGCAAGCAAGCAAGCAAGTGAACTTAATATAAAGGATTTAAAAATGTAATGGGTAGTGGTGGCCTGGCAGTTCAGAGGTCAGAGGCCATTGAGCCGGCCCCGTCTGGTTCCTGAGTTCGAATCTGGGTGTCGGCCACTGCCCGTGATTAAACCGGGTCCCGAAGTGAAGTGAGTTGATGTTCTCAGCCCCGGTCACCAACGACCATGCGAAAAAGAAAAGAAAACTAGCCGGAGTACATTTGGTTCTGCACTTAACAAGAAAACATTACATCGAATTAAGGTAATCATTGTCTAGTTGACATAGAGGTATGCTCGACTACTAAAACGATTGCAACTTTTTTTTTTTAGTAGGTAAGGCCCACTGAGCTAGTAGCTGTTTTTACGAAGTGACCTGGCCACAAATGATCGCTCGTCAAAGTGGCTTGCCATGTGGAGATTTGTAGCAGCCAAATACTCGCATATTGCTAAATTTGGAGGGAAAAACTGG